TTTTTTTGCCTTTCCCAGGAATTTCACATAAATAGAGTTATACGATATGTTGCCTCTGGCTTCTTTCACTCGGCATAATCCTTATGAAGTTCATCCATGTTTATGCTGCATAGTAGTCCTCTGCAAGGACATAGCACTTTGTGTTTCCACGGACCAGTTGAGGAACATTTTGACCAATTCCAATTTGGGGCTATTATGAATGGTGTTGATATGAATATTTACGTAGAAGTTTTTGTGTGGACATATATATATATATATATATGTGTATATATATATATTTTTCTCAATAGATACCCAGGAGTGAAATTGCTAAGTTATATGATATGCATAGGTTTAACCTTGAAAGAAACTACTGAACTGTTTCCAGAGGGCTGTACCTTTCAACATTCCAATCAGCAATGTAGGAGAGTTCCTGTTTCTCCACAGCCTTGCCAACGTTCAACATCATGGCCACTTTTTAAATTAGAGCCATTTTAATGGATGTGTAGTGATAGGTCATTGGGTTTTCATTTGTATTCCCTTAGTAACTAATGATGTTGAGGATCTTTTCATGTGCTTATTAGCTGTTTGTGTATCTTCTTTGGCGAAATGTCTGTTCAAATCCTTTTTCTACTTCAAATTGAGTTGTTCGTGCTCTTATTATTAAATCATAAGACTTTTTCATCTATTCTAGAGGCAAGTCCTTTATCAGATATCTGATTTGCAAATATTAGCTCCCAGTCTGTGTGGCTTTTCTTTGCATTTTCTTCATAGGGTCTTTTGAAGATCAAGTTTCCCATTTTTATGAAGACCAATTTATCAGGGTTTTTTGTTTTTCTTTTATGAATTGTGCTATTGATGTTACATCTAAGAAATCTTTTCTTCCTTTTTAAAAAAAAAATTTTTTTTTGATGTTCATTTATTTTTGAGACAGAGAGAGAGCATGAACAGGGGAGAGTCAGAGAGAGAGGGAGACACAAAATCCAAAGCAGGCTCCAGGCTCTGAGCCGTCAGCACAGAGCCCAACGCGGGGCTTGAACTCACAGACCGTGAGATGGTGACCTGAGCTGAAGTCGGATGCCTAACCGACTGAGCCACCCAGGTGCCCCAAGAAATCTTCTCTTAATCCAGTGTCATGATTTTCTTTTATGTGTTTGTCTGTAAGGTTTATAGTTTTAGGTTTTACACTGAGATTGTACCAAATGATCCATTTTGAGTCAATGTTTTACATGGTGTGAGGTAAGGGTCTCAGCTTGTGTGTGTGTTTGTTTAGTTTTGCAAAGGAACATTCAGTTGTCCCAGTGCCCTTTGTTGAGAAGATTGTCCTTTCCTCATTTCTTAGTAGATCTATTTTTATTATTTTTTTCTTGTTAATAAGACCAGTTTTAGTACTTAGGTTTAACTATGTACTGTTTTGAATTCATTTTCTAGATAATATTTTACTTGAAGTTTCGATTTTCTTTTTGACCCAATAATGCTTTAGGCTGTGATTTCCACATAACAAGCCTTATGTGTTGTGTGTGTGTGTGTGTGTTTTTCAATTTAAAAACCAATCTCTATTTTAATTATTGGTAGTAGAGAATATTTCTCCTTTCGAAATGTTCTAAGTTGCCCTTTACAGGTACACTGCGAGGTAGGTATTTTATGCATGTGAAAATTCCGTGGGCCTTGAAAAAAGTTGTCTTCTGTGTTTACAGGACATGGAGAAAACTCCTCTGCTGCAGGAGGAAACAAGGCCAAGGTACAAAGGGAGGCAGAAGCCAGAAATGGACCTGCCCCCTCGGATCCAGCCCCTTAGACCAGCTCTACCCTGCCTCTGTCTTGCCTACTTGAACCTGGAAAGTCTCCCTTTCTCTAACTCTGGTCTAGCTTTGGCTCTGCACCCCAGAGCGTCCCGGGGGTAGTAGCATCATCACGACAGAGAAGACTCATTTGAGGTAACAAAAACGCTTTATCTGTGTTCCCACCATTTCTTTGGTTTTGCTCTGTGGGCTCGATCTTTCCCCACCTGCATCGTCATGTCAGGTGGGGGAAAGGGGACTTCATTCGATAATTCAGACGTGCCGTCTCGGGTCACAGTCAAAATTCTGAACTCAATCTTTAGGGTTGAGGCTCCCCTGCTCTTCCAGCTCAGGCCTGCAGGGGGCAGAACTGCGGTGGGAAATGGCAGCTGGGTTGGTTTCTGCCCCGTTCGTCGGCTTCCACTCCTGAGCCTGGTTGACTGTGCTGTCCGACCTCCCTCGGGGAGGGGGCAGTCTCACTGGTCTGTTCTGCGGTGGCCGTGAGAGCAACAGGCCAAGCGTGCAGGGCTCAGGCTCTGTCTCGTGGGCGCACTCTTGCCAACTCTCGCGGAGGCAGTGCTCAATGGCGGCCCCGTGTGGCCCCTGGAGGCAACAGCAGCGTTGGATGACTCAGGCGGCCCTCTGCCTTGGGCTGCCCTCCCCACCCCCTCTGGACGAAATCCCAGCGAGTCCCGGTCAACCCGGAGGCCTTAGGAAGGTGATAAATGTAGGGCTTCCTGCTAACCAGGCACCGAGGGCCCAGAGAGTTCAGTGGGAGAAGACACGAGGTGTGACTGTATTTGCCCCTGGGATTTATGAAATAGTTAACGTCACCACAATTTATTACCCTTTGTTTAAAAGTTGAGGTGAAGGGTGGTGAAGTGACTTGGCCACAGTCCCGCAGTGGGCACGTGGGGAAGTCCCAGCTAGAACCTGGCACCTCCGATTCCAAGGGCTGGGAGCCTTCCTCGGCACCTCCGTGGAGACGCGAGGTGACATGAAATGTCCTTCAACGGTGGAGAAGACAATGAATGGCATTACAAAGGAAAGGCAGGGTGCTTGGGTCAGGGTGCTCAGTTGGTTAAGCGTCCCACTCTTGGTTTCCGCTTAGGTCATATGATCTCACAGCTGGTTCATCAGATCAAGTCCAGGGTTAGGCTCTGCGCTGACAGTGCGGATCCTGCTTGGCATTCTCCTTCCCTCTTTCTTTGCCCCTTCTCTCTCTCTCTCTCTCTCTCTCTCTCTCTCTCTCTCAAAAATAGGCAAAAATAAAAAACTTAAAAAAAAAAAGGAAAGGCAAGAATGACATATAGGTTAAAGATTTTTAAAACATGCAAAACATCTTTTAAATGTCCTCTGGAAGTTTGTACCCCCTGCAAAGCGGGAAACATCTGGAATCTGTGCTCCCGGCCAGAAGAGCTTGCAAGTGCCCTTTGTCTGGGGCAGGGCAGGGAGGAAGTTGGGTTGTTCTCCACAGGACTCCTGAATTGTCATTTTTAATGTCCTCCTGCACTGCAAGGAGTCAGAGTTGGTTGGTGAAGTCTCCCTCCCCTAGAAAATACTCCTTAGAAAGAATGCCGAATGTGATTACGAGCATTTGTTTATTGACGTTTTTTAAAAATGCCAGCTCTGACATCCTGAAATGTAAAGGCACTTGTTTCTATCCTTTTTTTTTCTTCTTCTTCTTCTTCTTTTTCTGGCTAATCAAATCCACATTATTGCTACCTTTGCTTCCAACTTAGACATCTTCTAAGCTGACTGGTTCTTCAGTAGAGAAAAGAAAAGAAGAGGGAGGGAGGGAGAGAAAGAAAGAAAGAAAGAAATGACTAATGGATGGATGGAAAGAAAGAAAGAAAGAAAAAGAAAAAGAGATAAAGAAAGGGAGGAAAAGAAAGAGGGAGGGAGTGAAAGAGGGAAGGAAAGAAGGAAGGAAGGAAGGAAGGAAGGAAGGAAGGAAGGAAGGAAGGAAATAAGCCATGGCTATCTGGGAGAATTTGGTCTTAATGTCAAAGGAACCAGAAAGTGTTGGGGTCCTTTTTCCCAGAACTTTAGCTCCAACAAATATTTACCAGGTGAATGGCTTTGTTTGATTGCATTTTGTCTAGACTGAACCAGAAGGTCTAAAGAGACATACACAAATAGGAAGAAAATTCTTGGCCCTCGTGGTGGTACAACTTGTTCCATTTCACTGTTATGTAAGCATTCGGGAATGACAGAGTTAGCGTCATCCACACTGCATACTAAGGCAGGCAAGCTGCCCAGGCCCTGTGACCATGATCTTGACCACCTCTTCAACCCCAGGCACAGAGCACTTTCATTAGATGATGCCATGTGGCCACGGCCATGACAGAGTGTAGAATTCTTTTTTTTTTTTTTTAATTTTTTTTAACGTTTATTTATTTTTTTGGGACAGAGAGAGACAGAGCATGAACGGGGGAGGGGCAGAGAGAGAGGGAGACACAGAATCGGAAACAGGCTCCAGGCTCTGAGCCATCAGCCCAGAGCCCGACGCGGGGCTCGAACTCACGGACCGCGAGATCGTGACCTGGCTGAAGTCGGACGCTCAACCGACTGCGCCACCCAGGCGCCCCTAGAATTCTTTTTTTAAAATAGCATTTGTAGGGACACCTGGGTGGCTCAGTCGGTTGAGTCCAACTTTGGCTCGGGTCATGATCTCATGGTTCGTGAGTTCAAGCCCTGCGTCGGGCTCTGTGCTGTCAGCTCGGAACCTGGAGCCTGTTTCGGATTCTGTGTCCCCCTCTCTCTCTGCCCCTTCTCCGTGCATGCTGTGTCTCTCTCTGTCTCTTAAAAATGAATAGACATTGAAAAAAGATTTTTAAAATAGCGTTTGAATTTTCTGTATAAGCCTTCCACTTTATTTTCCCCATAGTCTCTCAAGGCTTTCTGTGTTAAAGACACAGGGTGAGGTTTACATCGAAATGTAACATGCATGCAGAACACTGAATGTGGCCCAGGTGTATGATGCTATGAAGAGCCCCAAACTGATCAAATCCATGGAACAGATTATGACCAGCACCCTAGGGTCCTCCTCCTTCCACCTTTAGTTACTTACCTTCAGCTGGAGGAGATCCACTGTCCTGACTTTTAACATCACGGTTCCACTTTGGCCAACGGGAAGGGTTTCAAGGTCATGGATATGCCTCAGCAATGACAACCTGCAGTTCAACCTGCAGGGCAAGCCGTTGGGAGGATTCGTGGGGCTCTGGGTCCAGCTCGAAAATGACATTCAGGGCGTGGAACGAGAACGCCTTTGGTTTCAGACCTCCCACCCCTGGCGCCTGTGAGCTGTGCGACACTGGGCAAGTCACTTCTCTGAGCCTGAAAGAGCATCACCCCCTCCTTAAGGGGGAGTAACACTCCTGCCTCACGGGATTAGAGAGGCAGAACCCAGGCAGAGAGCACCCAGTACAGAGCTATGCCCTAACCTTAGCTAGTACCCCTTGTAGAGTGTGGATGAGACCACAGGCCCCCTTTTTTGGCCTCCCCCATTTTTCTGGAGCTTAGTGAGCCCCGCATCCTGTGCCATCATCCTGCTGAGCTGAATGCGGAAACCTTCTGAGCTCACAGATGACATACTCCTTGAAGCCTCCAACTCCGGAGGCGCCAGCCGCCCAGGCCCGCCCTCCCTGCCCTGAGGCGGCTGGCCTTGACAGCCCTCCCATTCAGACACCTCCACAGAAGCGGCTCCTCCCCACGCCTCCCCCTCCCCTGCCTCCCCAGGCTTCCTTCCTGTATGGAACCAGATGGGACCGGATCCCACTGCTCCCCCACCTTACAGGTGAGGCAACTGTTAATCATGGTGGGAAAGGAATTGCCCAGGATCACAGGGCGAGCGCACAGCTGGGACCAGCGTCCTGACTTCTGACCCTGATCCGCCCTTTGCCTTTTGTCATCCAGGGACCCCTTCTGACCCCTTCTTACCTCAGCTGGTCGGTGTGGGAAATCCCTGTCTGCGTGGCACAACCAGAAGAACCACGGTCCAGCCGTCCCCCTACAGAGAGACCCCAGGAGCCCAAACAGAATGGTAAGGAAGATTTCCATCTAAGTAATGGAAGTGTGTGTTGCTGAATAGGGAGCACACAGAGACGGTTAAATTTCTTTATATACGTAAAAAAAAATACAGGGAGAATTCTACCCCCACTCCTGTTCTCCATCTACCCAATTCTCTTCTTCTCCAAATAACTCCCGTCCTTACCGTCTCCAGCCATCCTTAAAGCTCTCCGATGCCAGAGGCGCCTGGGTGGCGCAGTCGGTTAAGTGTCTGACTTCAGCCAGGTCACGATCTCGCGGTCCGGGAGTTCGAGCCCCGCGTCGGGCTCTGGGCTGATGGCTCAGAGCCTGGTGCCTGCTTCCGATTCTGTGTCTCCTTCTCTCTCTGCCCCTCCCCCCGTTCATGCTCTGTCTCTCTCTGTCCCCAAAATAAATAAACGTTGAAAAAAAAATTAAAAAAAAAAAAGCTTTCCGATGCCAACTAGATCTATATGATTTCCCTACTTTTTTAGAAAGGGTGACAATACCCTCTTCTTTGCTCTTTTCAGTCCACAGCACACGTTGGGGAACTTTACACATCGGTACACAAACAGCTTCCGCATTTCTTTGTCACAGCTGCAGAGTATTCCATTGTATTATACCCGTGTTACGTTATTGAAATAGAATTCGGATCCCACAAAGGTCACCCACTTACAGCGTACAATTCAGTAGCTTTTAGTATATTCGCAGAAGAGTTGTGCAACCAGCACCACAATTAATTTAGCACCCTTTATCATCCCTAAAAGAAACCCTTTACCCCGTGGTTGTCACCCCACAACCCCCACCCCAGCCCATGGCAACCACTAATCTACTTTCTGTCTTTATAGATCAGTCCGTTCTGGACATTTCATGCACGTGGAACCATACAATGTATTGTTCTTTGTAACTGGAGCCTTCCATTTGTAATGTTTTCAAGGTCCATCCACGTGGCAACACGTGTCCATACTTCGCTCCTTTTCACTGTCAAATAATATTCCATCGTATGGATAGACCGCATTTTACTCCCCAGTCATCAGTGGATAGACATTTGGACTGCTGCCACTTGTTAGCTATTACGAGTAATCCTGCTGTGAACATCCAAACGCAAGTTTTTGTCCAGGTGTTTGTTCCTATCTCTCCTAGATACTGACCCAAGAGTGGAATTGCCAGACCTTGTGGTCTGTTTTATAATTTGCTTATCTCGTCCCCCCCAATGGAAGTTTGACCAAATGACATCTTAAAAGCCAACAACCCTTACATGTTTGGCAGGTGCTGATCTTATTAGCGAGGATTCAGGAGTAGGGCTGGGAACAGTGGCTGCACAGACCCTACCGAAGCTCCCTGCTTTTTTTTTTTTTTCCTCCCAGACTCTTACTGTTCTGGCACTTTCTGGTTAAATTTACTCCGATTCCGGTGTGGGCTGTGACTCACAGGTGTGGGAAAAGGAAGCACCACTCTTCACAGCTTGACCTGTCATCCCACTGCCCACTGATCCCTGAGGGGGAACCCAGGTCCCTCAGCTATGTCCCCCCACCCCCCACCCCCATGCCTGTGTCTTCCTGTCTGGGTTTCCTCATCCGGGAGACAGTCCAAGAGGAAGCTGGTGACTCTTGACCATGGAGTTTCCTGACCCTGTGACAACAGGCCACTGCCACACCTGACCGTCTGCCACACCTGCGACAGGTGCAGAACAGGGGAATTCAGGAACCATCCAGGCTATAAGCTGGTGAGCCAGCCTCAGGGAGAGCTGGAGACTCCTTGGTACCAGCATTGTTTTTAAATACTCCGTTGCGTTAGGCCTTCTCAACAAGCTTAAGCCAGGAAGTACTTTGTGTTCTGAGCCAACAGGAGACAGATTTCGATCTCTTGATTAACTAAAGGAGAGAAAATGAGTCCTGCTCTTCTCTGCTAAGTTTCTATTTGGTATTGCCCCAAAATTCTCCAGGTATCATGTTACTCCCTGCTCAGGAAACTCCGTGCGGCCAGACGTCAGTTGGATCTTGCAGGGAAGAGTTCTCATTCTGTCTTCTCTTTCCACGGCCGCTGCTTAAACTCGCCTCCCCAGGAGTCAAGGAACAGACCACCTCGTGGAATGTGAGTATTCTGCTTCAGTGCACGGAGGGGCTGTTCTAGAATGACTGCTCTATTTCACAGCATGAAATTAGAAGTGCAAGATGGCACAGATAGAAAGGTTTGCCTTTTTACAGGATGTGCTTATCCATTAAGATACAACCAGCTCATTCTTACTTATTTTTACTTATTTTTTAATTTTTTTAACACGTATTTATTTTTGAGAGACAGAGACAGAGTGTGAGTGGGGGAGGGGCAGAGAGAGAGAGAGAGAGAGAGAGAGAAAGAGGGAGGGAGACACAGAATCGGAAGCAGGCTCCAGGCTCCCAGCTGTCAGCACAGAGCCCGACGCGGGACTTGAACTCATGAACCGTGAGATCATGACCCGAGCCGAAGTCGGAGGTTCAACCGACTGAGCCACCCGGGCGCCCTTTATTATTTTTTTTTAAAGAAAAGTGAAGAACAGTGGACTGCAATAATTAAGGCTGTGAGTTTCCTTCATGTGGAAATGGACTACTTTTAAAATAATTTAATGTCCCGTAGTTCTTGGTTGGGTGTACTCTCTATGTATTTGAACACATCACATCCTTCTCTAACAACTCACAGTAGAGTTCTGAGCTCATAATGTGTCTGTGGGATTCATCCTATGACCCATCTGAATATGTCTGTGTTCACACAGGGCAAGAAATGGGGATTTGAGCTGGTCAAGTTCAATTAGAAAATGTCTCACTTTTTTATGTCCTACTTCTGTGGCTTTCATTCCATTTGCACTGGCTCTCCTAGGAGAGAAAACAGTTTTGAATTAAACAGCAATTAAGATTTTAATCTTCTGGTCTTGGAAGGGCACACGGTGTCATTACCCAGGGGCACCTCACCACAGAAACCAGAGAAGTGCCCACTTGTACCCGTTCCTTTTTAAATTAACTTCTTTTTGAAGATAAATACACATGGTACAAAATGTACGAGAGGGCACTCATGAGAAGTACATCTCATCCCCCATACTCTTCCCCAAGTGCCTCCACAGGTACCAATTTCTTGTGTATTCTCCCAGGGATATTTTATGCATATATGAGCTTCAAGCAAATAAAATATCCCCCCCTTTTTTATGCATATGATTATACACTGCAACATGGTCAGCTTACTTTTTCTAAATTTTTTTTAATGTTTATATTTATTTTTTGAGACAGAGAGAGACAGAGCATGAGCAGGGGAGGGGCAGAGAGAGAGGAGACTCAGAATCCGAAGCAGGCTCCAGGCTCTGAGCCGTCAGCACAGAGCCCGACGCGGGGCTCGAACTCGCCCTTCTGTGAGATCATGACCTGAGCCAGAGTCAGACGCTCAACCGACTGAGCCACCCAGATGCCCCAGCTTGCTTTTTCATATATTAATATTTAGTACCCCCCCCAAAAAAAACTCTATTACTTTTTATAGCTCCGTCGTATTCCACATCATGGACTTTCCAAAAGGTGTTAAACTATCCCCCAATTGACATAATTCAGGCTGTTCCTAAGCATTGATCATCACAAGCAATGTTTAAACATCATTATTGTGGACGTTTTCCAGCATATCTTAGGATAAATTCCTACAGGGACAGCCGCTTGGTCAAAGGTAAGTGCATGTGTAATGTCGATAGATATCCTGACTGTGCCTCCCATATTGGTTGTATGAATTTCCACTCTTTCCAGCATTGAGCAAATGCCTGAAAGTATATTCTGAAACATTCGTTTTCAAACTTTATAGATCAGAAAAATGTTACCTTGATGGGGTTTTCATTTGCATTTACCTTATTATGAGGAAGACTGAGAAGACTTTTTTTATGTTCCAGATCCCCTTGATTTTCCATCACCTCATTGCCCACGCCCCTATGCATGTTTTTCGACTGAGGCTTTGGACTTTTCTAGTAAGACTGAAGGCTATTAAGAAATTTAGTGATGGGGCACCTTTGGTTGGGGGGGGCTCATTTGAGAGCATCTGACTCTTGATTTCGGCTCAAGTCATAATCCTAGGGTCGTGGGATTGAGCCCTGCATCAGGCTCTGCACGGAGCATGGAACCTGCTTAAGATTTTCTCTCTTTCCCTCCCTCTGCTACTCCCCTGCTCTCTCTCTAAAAAGGTATTTTTTTTTAATTTTGAAAAATATGTATTTATTTTTGAGAGACAGAGAGAGAGGGAGTACAAGTGGGGGAAGGGCAGAGAGAAAGGGAGACATAGAACCTGAAGCAGGCTCCAGGCTCTGAGCTGTCAGCACAGAGCCTGACGCGGGGCTCGAACTCACAAGCTGTGGGATCATGACCTGAGCCCAAGTCGGATGCTTAACTGACTGAGCCACCCAGGGGCCCCATAAAAAAAAGTACTTTTTAAATGTTTATTTTATTTTTTGAGAAAGAGCGAGTGAGTGGGGGGAGGGGCAGAGAGAAAGGGAGACAGAGGATCTGAACCAGGCTCTGTGCTGACAGCAGAGAGCCTGATGCGGGGCTTGAACTCACAAACTGGGAGATCATGACCTGAGCTGAAGATGGTCACTTAACAGACTGAGCCGCCCAGGTGTCCCCCCCCCATTTTTTTTAATTTAAGAAATTTCATGATAAAATTGCAGTTTTTTTCTAGTTTTCCATTTGTCTTTGGATTTTATAGTATGCCATAACTTTAAAGTTTCCTATGTAGTTGAATTTAACATTTTCTTCCTGCCTTTTTTTTCCTTCTGAATTTTCACGTTGTACTTAGAAAGGGATATCCCACACCGCAATACCAAAGGAACAAAATCTGCCTTGATTTTTCTAGTACTTTAAATTGTTTCTTTTTTTATGTTAAAATCTTTGATTGATCTGGACTGTTTTTTGAACCTACGGTGAGAGAGGTACATTCGGTGCTATACATTGCTCTAATGTTCCTCATTGAATAATCGGACTGTTCCCACCTCATCAGAAATGCCTCTTTACTATCTGCCAAATTCAGGGTACCTGGGTGGCCTCACCGGTTGGGCGTCGACTTCAGCTCCGGTCATGATCTAGCGTGTTTGTGAGTTTGAACCCCGCATTGGGCTCTGTGCTGACAGCTCAGAGCCTGGAACCTGGAGCCTGCTTCGGATTCTGTGTCTCCCTCTCTCTCTGCCCCTCCTCCTGCTCACACTCTCTGTCTCTCTCAAAAATAAATAAACGTTAAAAGAAATTTATTTTACTATCTACTCAATTTGCATTCCTAGCCTGTTGATTGTATTTTCACGCTGTTCCATTATTCTGCTTGTCTGTGTATCAGCAGCTATTGTAGTTTTTATGGGGGGACTTTTTAGGGAGACTTGCGCCTGGTTCTGAAGAGCCCCCGTGCCCTTTGCAAAGCCCAGTTAAGCCATGGCAGCTGGGCTGTGGGCAAATAAAGCACTCATTCAATGCAAAAAAAATGTAAATTATTTTTCTGCCTGGCTCCTTTTAAATTTCTGGCTAGGCTAATTTCCACTCACCACTCATTGTTTTCAGATGTTTCCCTCCCTGGTGGTTTAGCGGTTAGGATTGGGCGCTCTCAGATGTTTCCCAATCAGTCTTGAGAGCTGATGTTTTCAATATTCATAGTTTGTCTATTTCGCAAAGAAATTCTACCGATGTTTTTACTGCAATTATGTTCGCTGCATAGATTACTTGAGGGGCAATCGATATCTGTACAATGTTGCATCTCCCATTTAAGAACTTGGTGTTTTCGAACCCTTTTGATTTTTAAAAATATATTGATATATATGTTGTCAGGCTCCTGCCCATTCAACGGAGAGAGCCCCTTTAGGCAGCCCCCTGTTTCCCATTGATGTGAGGATCACACTCTCATAGGCTTGGCCAGGCAGCCCTCAGGCCAGGATTCTGGGTCTCATCTGGATCTCTCTGTTTCTCAGTAATCAAGTGGACTCCTCAGGGAGCCCCCCACCCGACCCAGGCCAGCATTGGCCTAGGCTACCTGCTGAGGGACCACATGGAGGGGAAGAATGGCACCAACTCCACCAGGGCCCTGAAACTTCCAGATGGGACCAGCGCTGCCTGGTACATTCTCACCATCATTGGCATCTACGGAGTGATTTTCCTCTTCCGATTGGCCAGCAACATCCTCAGAAAGAATGATAAATCCTTGGAAGATATCTACTACTCAAATTTGACCTCTGAACTCAAAAAGAAAAATCTCCAAAGCAAGGTGGCCAAATGCTCTGCACTGACCTTTAGCAACAGAGCTGTCCTGCAGTCCAACCAGGCCAGCCTGGAACCAAAATGTAAAAACAGTGGGTGCCAAACTGAAATCCAAGGGATCCCTTGAAGGTCAAGGCAAACAGACCTCCACAGAAGAGGCCCAAGTTTCATGCAAGGGGGAGAAGCCTTGAGTCTACCTGGAACCTTGATAGAGGGGTCAAGTCCTTGAGTGGAGCTAGAAGAACATTACTGGGGCACTTATGCCGATGGGAGCATGGCCAAAAGCCAGCGTCCTGTTTCCTTCTCAGGCTTTGTGGCACTTTGAGACGAGACAGCAGAGGCAGTGGCTCCAGTCATACCCATCACCGGAAGAGCCTGTGTCCCAGAGAAGGACATGGAGCATCTAGTGTCCTCAGAGAATCTAGGAGATTCCCGAGGGTGTACGTGAAGGTGGACTCTTGTCATGGAAAGAAGGCTGAATTTGGAGTCAAGCACCCTGGATTAAAGTTAAACTTCCAGAGGATGACATGAACTTTGAGTGACTTGTGGCTCTTACCTGGAACACATGGCAGTGGGATAGATGGTTTCAAAGAGCCATTCGTTCTAGAGGTTCTCACTAGAATATAGAACCAAGGTTGTTAATAGCAGACGTTAGTCAGAAGTCCTTCATTTTCACTGAGGGTGTGTGATCCACTGAAAAAAAACATTAGTTTTGGAGGTGGAGGCATCAAACTCTAGTCTGGGTTTGATTCTTGACCACTTTGGCGTCCTTCAACACACTACCTCGCCTCTCTGGAACTTAGCTCCCACACAGATAAAATGAGAATGATGATGTCTGTTTTGCCAATCTTACAAAGCGGGTAAGAGCTAATGGCATCACGCATATGAGCATATTTTTCCAAGTAAAGTACATATGTAAAATATAAGCCTTGTGTTCATAGTGGCGATGGTGGTTGATGCTGATGGTGGCATTGGTGTCAGTGGTGACGGTCGTGATGGTTGATGCCAGTTGGTGTTGTTGGTAGTGGTTGATGTTGATGGTGGTGACGATGGTGTTGGTGGTGGTTGATGTTACGGGGGATGGTGGTGGTTATACTCTTGTGGAGAAGGAAACAACCAGTCCGCTGGCAATTAGTCCGTAAACAATGGCTACATTACCTTCTATTAAGAGGATCCATCTGCATAAGAGTTGATGACCTGAACGCTGGGTCAAGTCCATCAGATTCAAATTTTCCATGTAGACAAAACAGTTTCTTTTGGGTTTTGTTGTTTTAGACATCACATGATTTACTCAAATGTTTTTATAAATACCTGTTACTTATAGACTTGTCTCTGCCTAAAAAGAAATAAGACCTTGCCTAGATGACGGATTAATTTAGAGAGACCGTGATTAGCGAAACTTCTGCAAGTGGCTTTCAGCAGGCAGAGTGATAAATTATATTTTGTACCAATGTCTGTGAAGTTTATACAATTCAGCTCTTGGAGACATTCCCTGGACTACAAATGAATTCTTTTCTCCCTGTCTGCAGACAGTGGTCTGCAATCAGCCCCACAATTTCATAAAGGTCAGAATTAAACCCCAGGCTTTTGTTTTTAGAGGGGGATATAGACTTCCAAGTGTTTTTCTTTTTTAGAATATTTTCCACATCATCACCTCACAGGTTATCCAACAAAAGTGTTGGCTCGTTTATATTGTTAGGGCCGGGCATCATCCATATGTTTGAGATGCTTATAGGGCAGGATAAAACAGGATTAAGAAATATAGACAAAAAAATATATAATCCATAGTGACTACGAGCATGGAATGCATTAAAATGGGAGTCAAGGTCAGAACTTCGGTGGATTTGAAGATACAGTCTTCTGTTGGTTGCTTCCCCAGTATGCATTTCCCCCTTCCTTTTTTTTAATTTTTTTAATTTTTTTTTTTATTTAAAAAAAAAAATTTTTTTTCAACGTTTTTTTAATTTATTTTTGGGACAGAGAGAGACAGAGCATGAACGGGGGAGGGGCAGAGAGAGAGGGAGACACAGAATCGGAAACAGGCTCCAGGCTCCGAGCCATCAGCCCAGAGCCCGACATGGGGCTCGAACTCACGGACGACGAGATCGTGACCTGGCTGAAGTCAGACGCCCAACTGACTGTGCCACCCAGGCGCCCCTTCATTTCCCCCTTCCTTAACCCAACTGCTCCTAATGTGCATTTGGAGATTCATGGGGCACTAAGGAAGCTGAAACTACTCCCAGTTCAAGGTCTGAAATAAGAGACCTAGGCTGATCCAATCAGTGCTTTCCATGTCCTGGCTTCACTGATTAGGTGAACTCATGACCTAAGTAAGCTTACCCAGTGAGAATGACTGGATAGATTTTAAAGGGGGATTCTGGGACCCAAAAGTTCTGTCTTGCTCAGGATGGCATTAACTGCAGATCTGAGCCTGCAATCGCTGAAGCCATTTTGCCAATATCAGAAAAGCCAATTTGAGGGCAAAAACGAACATAGAGAACTAAGAAAATCACAGAGACTAGAGCCCCAACCAGACTGTACTCAAAGCCTGCATCGCCACAGGGCTGTTTTAGTTTGTGAGCCAAGAAATTTCCTTTATTAAGCTTTGTGACCCCCTCAACCAAAAATATCCTATATGATACCACTGGATAAATAATATCCTGAAGGAAGTGGGCCTTGAAGGAGAATTTGAAAAGAGGAGCAAAGTGATATGGTAAGTTGGGATCACTCCTTTCACCAAGGTTTTTATATTTCTAGGATTTTTATATTTTTTTTTAATTTTTTTTAACGTTTATTTATTTTTGAGACAGAGACAGAGCATGAACGGGGGAGGCACAGAGAGAGAGGGAGACACAGAATCGGAAACAGTCTCCAGGCTCTGAGCCATCAGCCCAGAGCCTGACGCGGGGCTCGAACTCACAGACCACGAGATCGTGACCTGAGCTGAAGTCAGACGCTTAACCAACTGAGCCACCCAGGCGCCCCTAGGATTTTTATTTTTTAAGGAAAACATAGATTTAGCATGCTTCTTAGGTCAGGGCAATAGGTCACTTGTAGAATTTCGCACTGGTTGACCTCTCAAGGAGCAGTCAATGAGATTCTGTTCCATTTAGTTCCCAACCCTTGACTTTGTCGATAAACCTCCATGGAAACCCCAAGGAGGGCTTATCATGTTAGACGTGTGGTCAGGGACCGGTTCCTAATGTATTTCCTAAGAAGCAAAAGCTACCATCTTCCCAGTGACATCCAAACATAGTTAGTTACATGAGGTCCAAGAACATTTTCTCAGGCCACCTGACTGTTGCTTGATCCAAATTCACCTGCTTTCTGGGGAGCCGGTCTGGGAATTTGCGTGGGAGATGTGTTCTTGGATGAAAACTATGTCTATATAGTCTCTATTTTAAGCAAGATTGGTGGGAAGCAATTATTATGCATATTTTTGAGATTTGTAAAAAAGTTTTTATTTATTTTTGACAGAGACAGAATGCGAGCATGAGCTGGGGAGGTGCAGAGAGAGAGAGAGGGAGACACAGAATCCGAAGCAGGCTCCAGGCTCCGAGCTGTCAGCACAGAGCCTGATGCGGGGCTCGAACTCACGAACCGTGAGATCATGACCTGGGCGGAAGTCAGACGCTTAACCGACCGAGCCACCCAGGCGCCCCAATTATTGTGAATGTTTTATGCAAAATCCCTTAAATCTAAAATGCTCAGGGTCAGAGTAATCAACCACTCTCTTGGCCAACCACATGTAGGTGGACCAGTGGGAAAGGTGCCAGCACTGCAGTGTGAGTGTTCAGTCCAGCAAGTGGGGAAGAGATTTTGTACATTCCACCAACTCTGGTGGAGACAGAAATAGAGCAAGCTGATTCCCAACATTCCAGACACTTTTTCTTTCTTTGTCCCTATAGTGAGTTACTCCAGATTAGGAGATCGGGTCAGATAAAGGCCTTCCTCTGCAATAGAAACTACTTAAAATCAATGCAGAATGTATCTGGGTTAATAGTTTTCCAGGAATGGCTCTTCTGGGGACTTGTGGCTGACGGTACCACGATTTGTACGAAATCAAATCCAGGTAGGTTATCAGAGCTTTCACGGGTGTTTGGAACACATCTATCCTAACTAAAATTCTTATCGGCTCAGCTTCGTTTTCATTTGTCTGGCGTGATATAATTACCACGACGTTTTTAAAGAGGGTTTAAAAAAACAGATTAGAGACTAAACATGTGTTAGCTCTTCCTAGAGTGGCTGGTGGCTCTGATTCTCATAACTGAATCTGATTGTCTAGATTTCTTTTTTTTTTTATTTTTTTTTATTTTTTTATTTAAAAAAAATTTTTTTCAACGTTTATTTATTTTTGGGACAGAGAGAGACAGAGCATGAACGGGGGAGGGGCAGAGAGAGAGGGAGACACAGAATCGGAAGCAGGCTCCAAGCTCCGAGCCATCAGCCCAGAGCCCGACGCGGGGCTCGAACTCACGGACCGCGAGATCGTGACCTGAGCCGAAGTCGGACGCTCAACCGACTGCGCCACCCAGGCGCCCCTGATTGTCTAGATTTCTACTAGGGCAGAAGAACGTCAATTCATTCTTCAGTTAGAGTTCTTCTCTTGGCAACAATAGAAACCCGCTCTAGCTAACTCATGCCCTCCCCCCCCCCCCAAAGAGGGATCTGTGGGAAGGCAACTGAGGCAGCTCCCAGAATCAAAAGGATAGCAGTTTATCCAGGCCTCAGGAGGGAGAGACATGAGTCTGTCTGAAGCCCTCACTCACATGCCCCAGTCGGAGAACCTTTTTTCCAGGGTCCTCCCAGAAGATGACTCACCTGCCGCGCTGCCTCTCTGGACCCCGCTCGCATTTCAAACGGCAGAGGGGACTATGGCATTGGGTCAGGTGCGGCAGGTGCCTGCTCCTTAGACCAATCACTGAGGGTGGGCTCAAGGAATTGAGTTCTGATTGGCTGAGGCTGAGTCATGTGCTCCCTCATGTGGCCTGAGGGCCATAAAATCTACGGAGAAATTGCCAATAAAAAGAGCGTTGCTCAGGTATCCCCTCCTGTGAACCCTTCTTGACCTAAGGCAGAGTTGGTGGCTCCCCCAGGGGCTGCAACACTTGGCAAACACTTGGACGA